TGTACTCCAGCCTGGGCAACAGAGTGAGACTCTATCTCAAAAAAAAAAAAAAAAAAAAAACACTACTACTAATAATAATACTTTGTCTCTTTATACCTCTGTATCCTCCAGTTTGTGAGCTCTTCTGATGCAGGGATATCCTCTTCTCCATTACATTCTTGGTGCCAGGCCTAGGTATGCAACATGCCTCTGTAGAGTTCAAGAGGATAGCTATGGGCCAGGCGCAGTGGCTCATGCCTGTAATCCCAGCACTTTGGGAGGCTGAGGTGGGTGGATCATGAGGTCAGGAGTTCAAGACCAGCCTGGCCAACATGGTGAAACCCCATCTCTACTAAAAATACAAAAATTAGCTGGGCATGGTGGCACATGCCTGTAATCCCAGCTACTTGGGAGGCTGAGGCAGAAGAATGGCTTGAACCCAGGAGGCAGAGGTTGCAGTAAGCCAAGACTATGCCACTGCCCTCCAGCCTAGTGATAGAGCGAGACTCCTTCTCCAAAAAAAAAAAAAGAAAGAAAAAAAAAAGAGGGTAGCTATGTGATACACGGCTTTTATACAGTGCTTTCTTCCCCACTATCTCCTTCGATATCTGCCATCACCCAGTGAGGGAGGTAGGGCAGGAGTGATATGAAAATGAACAGGGCTCAGATGCGCACGGTGGCTCATGCCTGTAATCCCAGCACTTTAGGAGGCCGAGGTGGGCAGATCACAAGGTCAAGAGATTGAGACCGGGCCGGGCGCGGTGGCTCAAGCCTGTAATCCCAGCACTTTGGGAGGCCGAGACGGGCGGATCACGAGGTCAGGAGATCGAGACCATCCTGGCTAACACGGTGAAACCCCGTCTCTACTAAAAATACAAAAAACTAGCCGGGCGAGGTGGCGGGCGCCTGTAGTCCCAGCTACTCCGGAGGCTGAGGCAGGAGAATGGCATAAACCCGGGAGGCGGAGCTTGCAGTGAGCTGAGATCCGGCCACTGCAGTCCAGCCCGGGCTACAGAGCAAGACACCGTCTCCTACACAAAAAAAAAAAAAAAAAAAAAAAAAAAGAGATTGAGACCATCCTGGCCAACATGGTGAAACCTTATCTCTACTAAAAATGCAAAAATTAGCTGGGTGTGGTGGCGCACATCTGTAGTCCCAGCTACTCAGGAGGCTGAGGCAGGAAAATTGCTCCAACCTGGGAGGCAGAGGTTGCAGTGAGCCGAGATCGTGCCACTGCACTCCAGCCTGGCAACAGAGTGAGACTCCGTCTCAAAAAAAGAAAGGAAAAATAAAGAAATGAACAGGTCTGTATGGAGAACCTGACAGGAGCTGAGCACAATGCCAGACACCGGCAGGGGACATTTATGTGGGCTTTAATCATCTGTGATTCTCAGTGCCTGACACAAAAATGTGTGGTTGTGTTTCTGAGAGCTCAGGAAACTTGCCCAAGGATGTGCAATTTAAATCAATGGTTTTATAGGATTTACTATTATCAAGTCTTGACCTCGAATCGCTCCTAGTCCAGTCCTCTGACATCCCCTGGCAGATGGAAGAAACATTCTGCCTCCACGGGCAATGGCCTGTTTCTGTAGACTCTGCCATCTGGGTCAAACCTTCCCTCCCCTTCACTGTGTTGCTTTTACTATCCCATCTGAAGCATTTCTTTTTCCTATTTAGAACCAGAAAAAGGTTGGGTGCCATGGCTCACTCCTGGAATCCCAGCAGTTTGGGAGGCCAAGGCGGGTGGACCACTTGAGGTCACAAGTTCAAGATCAGCCTGACCAACATGGTGAAACCCCGTCTCTACTAAAAATGCAAAATTAGCTGACCATGGTGGCATGTGCCTGTCATCCCAGCTACCGGCAGGAGAATCGCTTGAACCCGGGAGGTAGAGGTTGCGGTGAGCCGAGATCGCGCATTGCACTCCAGCCTGGGCAACAAGACTGAAACTCTGTCTCAAATAATGTCTTTTATGAAGAGTGAATCTCTCCTTTCTATCACATAACAATAAAAAGATGGGCCAGGTATGGTGGCTCACGCCTATAATCCCAGCACTTTGAGAGGTGGGAGGATTGCTTGAGCCCAGGAGTTCAAGACCAGCCTGGGCAACATAGCAAGAACCCATTTATAAAAAAGAAATAAAAAGTCTGGGCATGCTGGCTCACGCCTGTAATCCCAGCACTTTGGGAGGCTGAGGCAGGTGGATCGCCTGAGGTCGGGAGTTCGAGACCAGGCTGACCAACATGGAGAAACCCCATCTCTACTAAAAATACAAAATTAGCTGGGCATGGTGGCACATGCCTGTAATCCCAGCTGCTTGGGAGGCTGAGGCAGGAGAATTGCTTAAACCCGGGAGGCGGAGGTTGCAGTGAGCTGAGATTGCACCATTGCATTCCAGCCTGCGCAAAAAGAGCAAAATTCCATCTCAAAATAAATAAATAAATAAAATAAATAAACAAATAAAGACCTCTTTGTGTTTCCCCTTTCCCTCTCACTGCCAGGAGGCTTAGAGACAAGTAATAACAACAGCATTACAGTAGGAGTCAGAGTTAAAATATTTCCTCCTTACTCCTATGTTATGTGGCTCCTTCAGCTGAAACCTTCTTGAATCTTTTAGGGGAAGAACAGGTGTAAATAAACATTTATGTAATGAGCCTAGGGGAGAAGTCTGGGAAAGGATCCAGGTTGAAGAACAGAGTGCTTGGATGAATCTCTCACCCTCCCTTTGATGGCAGCCTAGGGTGAAAAATCTTGGTACAGCCCTTGAATGGAGGCGGCTCTCCTGAGAGAAGGACTGGCCACCTTGAGCCTCCGCAGGGTCACAGTCAGCACCCTCCCTGCCCAGGCTGTGAAGCTCGTGACCATGAACACATTTGCACTTCAGACTGTCTGTGGCTAGAATTTTTATTTTTAAGGAGGAGTCAGAAAAAGAGATGCTAGTGTGAAATCTCCTGACTGGTGAATACTGGCAACTAATTTGCATTTTTTCAAAACACTATGTGGGACAAATCAAACTTGGCTGCAGGCCAGATCACGCCTGGAGGCCCTCCCTCGCTGAGCCAGTGCTCAGCCAGTCGAGCCTAATCTACCTCCAAAAGAGTCTGTTTGTTGTGATTGAGGTGGGGTGGGGAAGTTTACATCATTTCTCCTGAAACCTGCCTTTTCCTCTCCCTACATCCCAGGGGATCTGCCTTGTTCTGAGATGACCCACGCTGAGCCCACAGACTTTCACCCCCAGGACACTGCCCCAGCCTTGGGTGACTGGCCTAACATGGACACTTGACCTAAAATGAGGCAACGAATCCTACCCCAGAGATATTTGCGCTGGGGGCAGAGCGAGGGACTGGTAGCTCCAGGGGCTGGAGCTGTGAGGTACAGAACTTGCCAGCAGCTGGCTGCTGTGTTTTCCATGCTGAGGGTGTGATAGTGGTGACTAACAAGAGAAAGGATCCTAAGAGGGTCTGCATGCCTGGCTCTAGTTGTCCTAAGCCCACTACTTTCCTATCCTAAAGGGACAGAACACCCCAGTGTCCTCATGATATCTGGCCTTCTTGGCCAAGCTAGGAGAGTCGGGTTTCTGTCCCTTGCAATGATCACTCCTAACTAGATTGGCTTGGGCCCTTTTCAGTCCCACCTCTGACCATGGCTGGGAAAGAGTTTTCTGGGTTTTTTTGTTTTTTTTTGGTTTTTTTTGAGACAGAGTCTGGCTCTGTCGTCCAGGCTGGAGTGCAGTGGCACGATCTCGGCTCACTGCAAGCTCCGCCTCCTGGGTTCACGCCATTCTCCTGCCTCAGCCTCCCAAGTAGCTGGGACTACAGGTGCCCGCCACTATGCCCGGCTAATTTTTTGTATTTTTTTTAGTAGAGACGGGGTTTCACTGTGTTCGCCAGGATGGTCTCGATCTCCTGACGTTGTGATCTGATCGCCTCAGCCTCCCAAAGTGCTGGGATTACAGGCATGAGCCACCACGCCCAGCCGAGTTTTCTGGATGAACAGTGGCTACACTGAGCTTCTAATCCCAGCCTCACACTCCTAACTCTCTGAGAAACTAAGGCAGTTTGGCTGGGTGCAGTGGTTCATACTTATAATCCCAGCACTTTGGGAGGCCAAGGTGGGCGGATCACTTGAGGTCAGGAGTTCGAGACCAGCCTGGCCAACATATTGAAACCCTGTCTCTATTAAAAATACAAAAATTAGCCAAGTGTGGTGACGGCCGCCTGTAATCCCAGCTACTCAGGAGGCTGAGGCAGGAGAATTGCTTGAACCTGGGAGGCAGAGGTTGCAGTGAGCCGAGATCATGCCACTGCACTCCAGCTGAAAAGAGTTGGACTCTTTTTGTTGACAGTGTAAGGCTTTGTTTTGCATCTTGGTTGTGCCTGAATTTGTATCCTAACTAATAATCTACCCCAGGAATTCCAGTTAACATTTTTGGGGTTTTGTTTTGTTTTTTGACACAGAGTTTCACTCTTTTTGCCCAAGCTGGAGTGCAGTGGTAGGATCTTGGCTTACTGCAACCTCCGCCTCCCAGATTCAAGCAATTCTCCCACTTTGGCCTCCGCGGTAGCTGGGATTACAGGCATGTGCCACCATGCCTGGCTAATTTTGTATTTTTAGTAGAAACGGGGTTTCACCATGTTGGCCAGGCTGGTCTTGAACTCCTGACCTCAGGTGATCTGCCCACCTCAGCCCCCCAAAGTGCTGGGATTATAAGCGTGAGTCACCGAGCCCAGCCCAGTTAACATTTTTTATTGTCCTAACAGAAGAGGGGGCAAGCAACTGGCATCTACTGGGTAGAAACCAGGGTTGCTAAACATCCTACAATGGGCAGGACAGCCCCCTACAACCAAGAGTGATCCAGTCCAGAATGTCAGTACTGCAGCTCTTGGGAAGCCCTGGCCTACCTTCCCTGAGATTTAGTGTTCACATCCCTAAAATGGGGACTATGGAGCTGTCATATTTTTCATGAGGACCCAGTGAGTTGACAGACATGATCCTCCTCTCAGGAAAAGACACATTCCCGCAGAGATTATCATGAAGTCTTTATTATTGAGAATAAATTAAGATGCAAGCCCCAGCGAAGGGGGGCGGGGTGAGGCAGGTTGCCAATCTGTGTCCAAAGTGGGGCAACAGAGTCTCCACACAGGAGGAGGGTTCTAGGGTGGGCTTGCAGTCTGGGGGGGCCTGGCTCAAGGGGGCTGGGCTTGGCCCCAGAAGTGTGGCACAGGACAGGGAGGGAAGGTAGGGGCTCCTGCCTGCTGCCTCAGTCTTGGGGAGGGGGAAGGGCTAGGAAACTCCAGCAGAGGAAGGGGGTTGGGACCCACTATGGACAGTCCTCACACAGCCCACGGAGTTCACCCCGTTTCCACCACCTCCTGCCCTGCCTGGGGCCCCCACGCTCTCTCTCACATGTACACATCTCCTCATCTCCCCAAGCTTTCCCGCTCCGCTCCCCCCAGACTTTCTCTCTCTCTCTCCCCTCCCCAACCCTCTACCACGGTCTTACCCTTCTGCACACCCCCACCACACACCCTCACCAGTTCCAAACCTGAGCCCTGCGGGGTGCGGCTGGGCTGGCCCAAGTTGACATCCCTCCAAACGAGGTTCTTAGGTTCTTTCCTTGGGTTGCCTTTGACGCCTGCCGCCTAAAGCTGCAGGGCCGGTGCCACTGAGTGGAGGCGGGGGAGCTGAGTGGGGAAACAGGATTTCACGAAGAAATGAGGGCTCGGGAGGCTCAGGACAGGCAGCCGTAGCTATGCCTGACTCCAGTGGAGGGGCAGAGTGCTGCGCAGCACAAAGGCACTGGGGCCCAGCGGAGGATGCTCCTGAGCTTGGGAGAGTGGGCTCTGGGTGACTCGGCTTAACACGGAGAGCAAGCCCTGGGCCAGCCAGGCACCTAGCTCCCGGACCTCCACTGCCAGCGCACCTGGGGCCTCTGTCGGGAGAGCCCAGGCTACAGAGGGATAGCGTGGAGGGCCAAAAGACCGGCCTCCCTCTGCTTTGGGGGTCTCCGGGCTGGGCGGGCTGGGCGGGCTGGGGGAGGGCGCCCGGTGCCGCCCGCCCATCCCCTTCGCAAGTCAGCTCAGACCTCGGGGCCGCCGAAGGCCAGGTTGTCGCGCACCATTAGCGTCTTGCGGAGGTCGCGGTCCACCAGGGGGCGCTGCATGCGCCACTTGTGCGCCTCCTGCAGGCCCGGCTCGAAGTAGTAGATGCAGGCGCCGAAGCCCACCAGAATGAGGACGGAGATGACCAGGTAGACCGGCACGAACCAGTCCAGGAAGTGCGGCATCGCGGCGGCCTTGGCTGCGGAGACACAAGGTAGTGAAGGCCAGCAGAGGTGCCCCTTGTCCCGCCCATCCAGAAGGAGACTTTCAGGCTTCACAGAGCCGGAAGCCCAAGCATCACTTTACAAATGGGAAGACTGAGGTCCATTAGAGCAAGGGCGGAGAAGCGGCTGATCAAGACCACGTGGTGACTCAGCAGCCCAGGCCTTCTGGGCAAGCACAAAGCTGTCGCCACGCCATGGGGACACCCAGCTCCTATTCACCCTTTAAGGAGACTTACGCTGGGCGTGGTGGCTCACGCCTGTAATCCCAGCACATTGGGAGGCCGAGGTGGGCAGATCACCTGAGGTCAGGAGTTCAAGACCAGCCTGGCCAATATGGTGAAACCCCATCTTTACTAAAAATACGAAAATTAGCCGGGCGTGATGGCACGCGCCTGAAATCCCAGCCACTTGAGACAGGAGAATGGCTTGAACCTGGGAGGTGGAGTTGCAGTGAGTCGAGATCGCGCCACTGCACTCCAGCCTGGGCGACAAAGCGACTTAGCCACAGGCAGTTCTGGTTGAGTCTCTTGCCAGGATGTGTGCCCTTGGGCAAGTTGCCTAACCTCGCTGGGCCTCAGCTTCCTCCCCTACAGAAGGGGAAAGGGATAACACCTCTACACTGGTCCTAGTGAGGATTCACTGATCCCTGGATGGGGCCTGTGCAGGGCACTCAGTAAAGGACAGGTTGGGCGATGCCTCCTCTGGTCTCCCTGCGCCCCTGAGCCCTGGGGCCCAGCCCTGACTGTAGCTGCCATGGCTGCCAGTTGCCAGCACCTGCCCCTGAGATGAGTGGATCTCCCAGCCACCTGCATGCCCTAGCCAAGTGTGGCCTGGTGAAAGTGTAGTGAACAAACACCCATTGAAGGAGACCTGGTTGATATCAATGGATTCGACACAAGCCCAGTTTCATAGTTATAAGGACATGGCCCCTAGCACCAAAACATTTGGGCAAGATATCCAGAGCTTTGGTTTCTACATCTATAAAATGAGAATGAGGCTGGACGTGGTGGCTCATGCCTGTAATCCCAGCACTCTGGGAGGCCGAGGAGGGTGGATTGCTTGAGACCAGGAGTTTGAGACCAGCCTGGGCAACATGGCAAAACCCCGTCTTCACTAAAAACTCAAAAAATTAGCTGGGCATGGTGGCACACTCCTGTAATCCCAGCTACCCAGGAGGCTGAGGTGGAATGATCACCTAAGTCTGGGAGATCAAGGCTGCAGTGAGCTGTGATGGCGCCACTGCACTCCAGCCTGGCAGCCTGGAGCAAGATCCAGTCTCAAAAAAAAAAAAAGGAAAAAGAAAAGAAAAAGGGAATGGTAACAAGTACCCAGGTGATAGGGCTTTTGTGTCTGCTGAATGAGTTAATTTATGTAAAATATTCAGAACTAGTGCCTGGCACATAACAAGTGCCACACAGTAAGTTTGTTCTTATTCTCTGAGCCTCAGTTTCCTTATCTGTACAATGCAGATAGAAATAGCACCCATGTCCTAAGGGTACTTCAAATTTTTAACAAGACAATGCCTAAAGAGCATTTTGTGGCCGGGCGTGATGGCTCATGCCTGTAATCCAGCACTTTGGGAGGCCAAGGCAGGCAGGTCACTTGAGGTCAGGAGTTCAAGACCAGCCTGACCAACATGGTGAAACCCCGTCTCTACAAAACGTACAAAATTAGCCTGGTGTGGTGGCCCATGCTTGTAATCCCAACTACTTGGCAGGCTGAGGCATGAGAATTGCTTGAACCCAGGAGGCAGAGGTTACAGTGAGCCACAATTGTGTCATTGCACTCCAGCCTGGGCAACAAGAGTGAAACTGTCTCAAAAAAAAGAAATAATTAAAATTAAAAAGCATTTTGCCCCATTCTGCCTGGCACAGAATCAGCACTCGGTCAATATCAGCTATTGTTATTTCCACTGAACCAGAAGCAGAGAAGGCAGGAAAGTGAAAGGCAGCAGGTGTAAGGTGAGTTGCAAACCTTATATACATCCAGACTCTTTTTTTATTGTTTTTTTTGTTTTTTTTTTTTTTGTTTTTTTTTTTTTGAGACAGAGTCTCGCTCTGTTGCCTAGGCTGGAGTGCAATGGCATGATCTTGGCTCCCTGCAAACTCCGCCTTCAAGCGATCTCCTGCCTCAGCCTCCCTTGTGAGTAGCTGGGATTACAGGCACCTGCCACCACGCCCAGGTAGTTCTTGTGTTTTTTTAGTAGAGATGGGGTTTTGCCATGTTGGCCAGGCTGATCTCAAACTCCTGACCTCAAGTGATCTGCCCACCTCGGACTCCCAAAGTGCTGGGATTACAGGCATGAGCCACTGTGTTCGGCCCACCCAGACTCTTTAGAATGGCCCAAAGGTGCCCATCTGCTCCCTGCCAACCTCCCCCTCTTCACATCGCCCACTATGTGCAGTCACATGGAGCTGCCTGTCTGTCACCTACATGCACCTACACATTATGCAGTCCTCATCTTTGCATATGCTTTCATTTTCTCTAGAATGTTCTTTGCATTCTTGTTCACTTGGCAAATTCCTCTTCATACTTCAAAAGCCAGATCACAGTCTGGCTGTGGTGGGTCACGCCTGTAATTCCAGCATTTTGGGAGGCTGAGGCAGGTGGATAAGGCCAGGAGTTGAAGACCAGCCTAGCCAACATGGAGAAACCTCATCTCTTCTAAAAGTACAAAAATTAGCCAGGGGTGGTGGCAGGCACCTGTGATCCCAGCTACTTGAGAGGCTGAGGCAGGAGAATCGCTTGAGCCTGAGAGGCAGAGGTTGCAGTGAGCTGAGATGGTGCCATTGTACTCCAGCATGGGCAACAGAGCGAGACTGTTAAAAAAAAAAACAAAAAACAAAAAACAAAACTTTAGGAGGCCGGGGCAGGCGGATCACAAGATCAGGAGATCAAGACCATCCTGGCTAACACGGTGAAACCCCATCTCTACTAAAAATACAAAAAATTAGCCAGGCGTGGTGGTGGGGGCCTGTAGTCCCAGCTACTTGGGAGGCTGAGGCAGGAGAATGGTGTGAACACAGGAGGCAGAGCTTGCAAGGAGCTGAGATTGTGCCACTGCACTCCAGCCTGGGCAACAGAGGGAGACTCCGTCTCAAAACAAAGAACAAAAAACAAAAAAACACACAGATCACAGATCATCTCCTCCAGGGATAGGATGATGCAGGGTCTATTGAACCCACCCCCAACCTTCCCTAGTTATAAGAAAGGGGTGACGTGAGGAGCCCACCTCTGCCTGCCCGGCAGGTAGAGCACTGTTTGAGTTTTTCCACAAACCTCACAACAGGCCTATGGGGCAAGCGTCACTATCCACATGCATTTTACAGATGAAGAAACTGAGGCCCAGACAGGCTCACTAACTTGCCCTGGCTTACCCAACTGGAAAGTGGCAGAGCTAGATGCCAAACCCCAGTGATGCCCTGAGGCTTGCGTCCTCCAGGGGAGGGAAAGGCACCTGAGCAGGATGAAATGAGCAGATGCTCACCTTGCTTCTGGGGAGGGAAGCAGGGGGATGGATGGAGAGAACTCCAGGTAGGTCAGAGGGAAGCCCTCACTCCTCTGACCTCCGTCTCCAAACTCCAGTTCCTCTAGTCTCTCTACTCCCAGGTGGGCCTGTGAGGGGAGCTGTGGCCCCAGGGGAGGGAAAGATGCTGCTTCCTGGTCCTGCATCCATCTGGAGCCCCTCTCCTACCCCCGAAGGTCCTCACTGGCTATTCTGAGGCACCGACATTGTCTTAAAGCGCCCTATTTGTGGAGGAACAAAATGAAGAGTGCACTGATTGTCCAAAGTAACTAGCGCAGCCAGGGCAGGGGAGCGTGTAGGACCCAGCACCTCTTACCCAGCTGCCTTTCTGGGGAGCCGGAGAGAGTGCAGGATTGCCTGGTGCTGCCAGGGTTGGCGAAGGTAGGGAAGGAGCACCCCAGGCAGGGAGGCTGCTCCCTGTGTGACTTGACTGTGTCCAAGTTGACTCACGCCCCCTGCCCAGGCCCAGCCAGGCCCCCAGTTTCCTTCCAGCTTAAACATGCGAATGGGGGGCTGGGGCGGAACAGAAGCCATTTCAGCCGCGATGCTGGGGGGTGTGGAATAGAGATCAAGGTCCCCCAGCCTTTCCAGCCCTGTGCACAAAATCCCAGGCATTCTGAGGCTGACTGAGGACCCCGTGGTCTCTTCCTGATTTCTCAGGGAACTGACCTAGGTGGAGAAGCAACACACACACTGGCCTCCTGTGTGACCTTGGCCCCTTCTTCACCCTCTCTGGGCCTCAGGGTCCCCTGTGCAAAGTGACAGGGTGGAGATGGGGTTACCAGATGATCTATATGGAATTTTCCAGCCTCATTTCAGCCGAAGTCCTGCCTGAGACAGTGTTTGTTTGCAGAGCCCCTCTCCCTACCTCCCAAGCCATTGGCACCACTCGGTGCCCTCCGTGTGCCCAAAGACCCACCTCACGCCCTGCAGATGCCAGTTCCGGGGTCTCTGCGCTGAGCACACCGCCTCAGCCTGAGCAGCTCAGCGTCGGCCCGTGGACTCATTCGCAGCTGCTGTCCCCAGAGACACTGCTATCTGCAGCTGCCCTGGGTGCTGGAGGCAGAGATAGGGCAAGGCCAATGCCACCCACGGGAGACGGAGCTTCTCACATCCGGGGGCTCTGAGTGGGCCAGGAGGGGGCAGTCCTGGACTGGCTCAGCACCCTGGTACCTCTCCCAGCCCATCAGAGACCCTTCACCCTAGCCCCCACTCTCAGGATGGCAGGAGGTGGGACCTGTCTCAACCAATCAGCAGCCTGACAGAGCAAGGGCTTTATCTTCCGTTGCCCTGGCAACCAGCCTTCTCTTCTGGATCCCTGGTACTGTGCACGTGGTACAGCAGATGACAGGGCGGCAGGATTGGGGGAGTGCGGGGAGGGTGAGTCACCCAGCAGGCTGTAGCACCCCAAGCCTGGTGGGCCTAGAGAGCAGACGACCACGGCTGATAACTCTAAGGGTTTGATGGTTTGCCATTTGGGAAGCAGGGAGAGACTGGGGTAACTGGCAAGTGCGTGGGGACACAGAATCAGTGACCAGTAGAGCCCAAGGGGGTCATATGTTATAGAAGGAAGAACCAAGACTGAGTCTGAGAGTTCAGACACATTGGCTCAATGTAACATTTCCTATGCACCAGATACTGTTTTCAACGCTTTGATTATATTAACTCATTTCTCATTCATGGTCATGAAGCAAGAAAGTAGCAATGCCAGGGTCGGAGCCCTAGCCTGGCTTTCAGGACCCTCGCAAATGGCTGCCCCTCCCCATTCTGCCTCATCTACCCCACAGCACCCCTGGCTGGTGTACAGCCAGCACAGGCATTGAGCGCTCCCATCTGCTAGCTGGCCCCAGACGTCACTTCCTGCAGTCCTCCCAGCTGGATTGGTGTTGAGACCCCATTTTGTGATGCGGCAGAGAGGTGAAGCTGTTGGCCTTCTCCTTCTCCCAGAGCCCTCAGCTTCTTAGTGACTGAGCTGGAGTTCAAAGCCAGGGGCTGACGTTGGGGGTGGGGTCCACCTTCCCAAGTGTGGATCCTCCCCCTCCCCCTATGCCATAGATAAGGTATCTGCCACGTGTTCAGGGCTATTGTCTCAGGAGGAGACAGCAGCCCCCTAGGGCCCATGGGGCGTGGCTGGGAAGACGCTTCCAGGAACCACTTCCCTAGGGAATCCGTTCCCAGAAACCTGGGGATGGGCAAGGGGAAAGGCTCTGGGTGAGGTTGCTTCAGGACCTAGGTCCCCCACCACAGACACCTCTGGGGCCATCTAGGGGCTCTTCAGGTATGACGGGTCCTTTCCAGCATATGTGGGACGAGGGGGGTGACTGTGAGTTCACAGAGGGTTTGTTTTGTTTTGTTTTGAGACAGAGTCTCGCTCTGTTAGCCAGGCTGGAGTGCAATGGCGCAAGCTCGGCTCACTGCAACCTCTACCTCCCGGGTTCAGGCAATTCCCCTGCCTCAGCCTCCTGAGGAGCTGGGACTACAGGCGCACACCACCACACCTGGCTAATATTTTGTATTTTAGTAGAGGCAGGGTTTACTATATTGGCCAGGATCTACTGATTTCAGGATCCGCCCACCTCAGCTTCCCAAAGTGCTGGGATTACAGGCGTGAGCCACCGCGCCTGGCCTTTTGCTTTGTTTTTTAAGACAAGGTCTTGCTCTTTCACTCAGGCTGGAGCACAGTGTTGTGATCGTGGCTCACTGCCACTTCTGCCTCCTGGGCTCAGGTGATCCTCCCACCTCAGCCTCCTGAGTAGCTGGGACCACAAATGCATGCCACTATGCCCAGCTGATTTTTGTGTTTTTGTAGAGACAAGATTTTGCCACGTTGCCCAAGCCAGTCTTGAACTTCTGGCCTCAAGCCCTCCTCCTGCCTCAGCCTCTCAAAGTACTGGGATTACAGGCATGAGCCACCACCTGGCCAAAGTGCTTTTGAACATTTTGGGGTGGGAGAGCAGAGGAGTTGGGGGAAGAATCACAAAGGGGCAGGAGTAAACTTTTTGGGATGAAGGATATGTTCAGTGTCTTAATGGTGATGGTGGCTTCTTAAGTATATACATATGTCAAACTTATTGAATTGTACCCTTGAAATACGTGTAGTTGATTATATGTGTACCTTATGCCTCAATAAATCTGTAAAGTATATGATCCATGGCCTGTGGGCATTGTTATAGCCACTGATTCCTTATTCATACAAAAGCTTATGGGAAGCTCAATACATAACACAGACAAAGCTGAGGTTGCTTCGGTTCAGTGGTAGGGTGGGGGTGGGGGTTCTGGACCCGACCCACTCAGAATGCCCCCTGTCCCTCACAGGACCCCAAGTCATCTCCCCAGGGCTCCACAGAAGCTGATTTGAAAAACACTGGCCCAGAGGACTCTGATGACCCTGCCAGCTTGGGTGTTCAGGATGTAAGAACCTCCAGGCCTCGATCTGGCCTCCTCCCCATCCCTACCCTTCATCACATATGGATCCTACACACAACTACTTTCTGTCCCCAGGGACTCGGGGCAGATTCCCCTGGGTTCCTGCTGCTCCTGGCTGCTCCCCAGTGGCCTCTCCCACTACAGTGCCTTGTTTCTTGTTACCAGTGGTAACTCCCTGAAGCAGTTTGGCTCCTCTGGGACCAGGGTCCCCAGGGCAGGCACTCAGCACACACTGACTGAATGGGTCTCAGCCCGGCCCCTCCTGAAAAGTCCCCACCAGAGTCCAAAGTCTTTTCCCAGCCCATCACTCTCTAAGGGCCTCAGTCTCCAGGAGCTCAATCACCTCTGTGGCCTCACCTCCTCCCCTGTTCTTCTTACTCCACCTGCCACAGCCATCAGCCTCCTTGCTACACCTTGGAAGTGCTTCCCACTCAGGGGCTTTCCACTTACACTGCCTTCTGCCTGAGGCCTCTTCTTCATCATACTTAATGGGCCTCTCTCTCACTGAATTCAGACATCTGCTCAAATGTCACCTTAGGCAGGCCTCCCTGCTCTAAAATAGCCTCCTCCCATCCATCTCTTCTCCCAGTCAGCTTTAATTCATCTTCCTTTTTTTTTTTTCTTTTTTTTTTTGAGATGGAGTCTCGCACTGTCGCCCATGCTGGAGTGCAGTGGTGCGATCTCAGCTCACTGCAACCTCTGCCTCCCAGGTTCAAGCAATTCTCCTGCCTCAGCCTCCCAAGTAGCTGGGATTACAGGCGCCTGCCACCACCACCACACCCAGCTAATTTGTTTGTTTTTTGTTTTTGTGATGGAGTTTCGCTCTTGTTGCCTAGGCCAGAGTACATTGGCATAATCTCAGCTCACTGCAACCTCCACCTCCCAGGTTCAAGCAATTCTGCTGCCTCAGCCTCCCAAGTAGCTGGGATTGCAGGCATGCGCCACCACACCTGGCTAATTTTGTATTTTCAGTGGAGACGGGGTTTCACCATGTTGGTCAGGCTGGTCTCGAACTCCTGACCTCAGGTGATCCACCTGCCTTGGCCTCCCAAAGTGCTGAATGCTGGGATTACAGGCGTGAGCCACTGTGCCCCGCATTTTTTTTTTTTTTTTGAGACAGGGTCTCACTCTGTCACCCAGGCTGAAGTGCAGTGGTGTGGTCTGGGCTCACTGCAACCTCCGCCTCCTGGGTTCAAGCGATTCTCCTGCCTCAGCCTCCCAAGTAGCTGGGATTACAGGTATGTGCCACCATGCCCAGCTAATTTTTGTATTTTTAGTAGAGATGGGGTTTCACCATGTTGGCCAGGCTGGTCTTGAACTCCTGACCTCGTGATCTGCCCACCTTGGCCTCCCAAAGTGTTGGGATTACAGGCATGAGCCACCGCACCCAGTTAATTTTTGTAATTTTAGTAGACACAGGGTTTCACCATGTTGGCCACGATGGTCTCAGTCTCCTGACCTTGTGATCTGCCTCCTTCAGCCTCCCAAAGTGCTGGAATTACAGGTGTGAGCCACCGCGCCCGGCCTATTACTATTATTTTTGAGATGGAGTTTTGCTCTTGTTGCCCAGGCTGGAGTGCAATGGTGCAATCTCAGCTCACTGCAACCTCTGCCTCCCGAGTTCAAGCGATTCTCCTGCCACAGCCTCCTGAGTAGCTGAGATTACAGGCATGCACCACCACGTCTGGCTAATTTTGTACTTTTAGTAGTACAGACGGGGTTTCTCCATGCTGGTCAGGCTGGTCTCGAACTCCTGATGTCAGGTGATCCGCCTGCCTCAGCCTCCCAAAATGCTAGGATTACAGACGTGAACCACCGTGCCCAGCCTGCTCAGCTAATTTTAATTTTTTTTTTGTAGAGATGAAGTCTCACTGTATTGCCTAGGCTGGCCTCAAACTCCCAGACTCAAGTGATTCACCCACCTCAGTCTCCCAAAGTGCTGGGTTACAGGCGTGAGCCACGGCGTTCAGCTTGCTTTGTTTTCTTGTCATAGTGCCTACTACTACTTGACTTTCAGGAAGTCCTCTCCACATCCCATGCCATGAGGAATCAAAGCCCTATCTGTGCTGAGGGCAGGGGTTCTATGGGGCCATTTACTTCCTGATCTTTCTGAGCAAGACATAGTTAGTTTAATCTGCAGTTTGAAGGATTTAGGCTAGACAGTGTCTCTGCTCTCCCAGATATTACAACAATGAGCTCACTGTCATCATTGTCTATCCCATCCTCATCACACTAAGTTAATCAATAATGTCTGATTCAACTGTCTTCCCAGGGCCGGGCATTGGGTCTGGGCATAGGAAATGATGAATCAATGACTGCTGAGAATGAATGGATGAATGTAATCCATCCATTCACTCAACAAATATTTATTAACTATGACATACCAGGCCCTTTTAGAGTGCTGGACATACAAAGTGACAAAGTCTCTAACCGCTTGTTTCTTACATTTTACATGGAGAAACAATTAACAAGTTACTGTATAACTGTTGGGAGAACCAGTTCGCAATGGGCCCTGGGCGTCCCTGCATGTTCTTGCTGGGTATGCCAGGAAAGCAAGCCCCTGACAGCTCTGTACCCAGGCTGCGTTTGCAGCAAGGAACCTTGAAAGATGAGTTAAAGTCTCCCACCCGACAAAGAACAGCATGCTCACCACTCACTATAAAAGCAGTAAATTGGCAGGGCCTGCTGATGTGCATCGGTAGTCCCAGCTATTCAGGAGGCTGAAGCAGGAGGACTGCTTGAGGCCAGTAGTTTAAGAGCCACCTGGGCAACAGGCCAGATCCGCTTAGTGGCACTTGCCTGTAGTTCCAGCTACTCAGGAGGCTAAGCCAGGAAGATTACTTGAGCCCAGGAGTTTGAAGCTCTAGTGAGCTATGATCATGTCACTATACTCCAGCCTGGGCAACAGAGTGATACTCCAAATCCAAAAAAAAAAAAAAAAGGCCAGGCACGGTGGGTCACGTCTGTAATCTCAGCACTTCAGGAGGCCGAGGCGGGAGGATCACTTGAGGCCAGGAGTTTGAGACTAGCCTGGGCAAGCTGGGGAAATCCCATCTTTACTAAAAATACAAAAATAAATCAGGCGTGGTGACGCACGCCTGTAATCCCAGCTCCTCTGGAGGCTGAGGCAGGAGAATCGCTTAAACCCAGGAGGCAGAGGTTGCAGTGAACCGAGATCGCGCACGTTGCACTCCTGTCTGGGCCACGGAGCGAGACTCCGTCTCAAAAAAAAAAAAAAAAAGTACTGTGTATGAGCATGAATGAACGAAAGTGCACAAAGAAATCACTAAAAATCTGCTTACTGTGGAGCATGGAACAAAAGGCCTGTCCACCACGTGTTCCGCGCGTGGTGCTGGAATGCCCCTCAGAAAAGGAGATAAAGGTTCGGTTCCTTTAAGAGGCCCAGTCCCGTCCCGCGAAGCCCCGCCTATAAGGAGGCACGTGCCCCCAGGCCGCGCTCTAGGGGCGGGACTCAGGGCAGTTTGAAAGATCGGCGCGCACAGCAGGAGCGGCGGTCGGCCTTGAGGCTATGATGTCGGTGTTGAGGCCGCTGGACAAGCTGCCCAGCCTGAACACAGCCACCATCTTGGTAGGTGCCGGCGGCCCCGCTTCCCCCGCCGGCCTTTACCTCCTGGGCGGCGCTTCAGCCACTAGGTCAACTGAGCTCCCTAAGGCGCCGAGCCAGCGAGCGCTACCGTAGCGGGACGGGATAAAGGCGGAGAGCCACGCTCTGAACCAATCGGAGTAGCCGCTCTCTAAGGTTGAGAGACGCACCCACCAATAGGTGCTCGGCGGGCCCTTCCCATCTTCTGATTAGCGGGTTCCCGCGCCTGGATTTGGTTTTTCCGCGTCTGGGGGTCTGGCTTCCTGAAGAGGCCCGCGGTCGAAACGAGGATCGGGTAGTAGAGAGTGCGGTGCCCACAGGCCTGCAGCGGGTCCAAACCTCAGGACCCCAGCCCGTGCCGCCTCGCGGGGTCCACTTCTCGGGAAATGTCCTCGGAGCCGCCTGCTGGCGGCGGCCCGATCTCCCCGGGAGTGGGTCGAAGGGCCAGGCCCTCCCCAGGGGTTGCTGTGCCTCGGGCTCGACGGTCCGCTCTCTCTCCCTGCGCAGCTGGTAGGCACGGAGGATGCTCTTCTGCAGCAGCTGGCGGACTCGATGCTCAAGGAGGACTGCGCCTCCGAGCTGAAGGTGTAAGTAGCCGCGGCTGTGGCCTGGGCCCACGTGTCTCTCTCTCCAGAGGGATTCAGTCCTAGCTGCTAAACCCCGAAGCCCAGCGCCCCCTCCTCTGAGGCTGGTCCTTCTTCCAGCATGCAGCGTAGCCGGCTAGGCCCATGCCGTCTTATATCCCAACCTCCCCTTGTCGAGGTGGTGACTAAACAGAGGCCCTTTCTGGCAGAGGGAATCAGACAGGAGTAATCTGAATAGGACCGGCCGTGTCCTGCCTCTCTGTGCTGGCCCAAGGAGTTGTGGCCGCAAGAGCCTCGGGTGGCTAGGATGAGGTGGGGAACCCTTGACGGCCTTTTTCCCCATGAAGGGCAGCATTTAAACGGTCGCTGTGAAGGCGGTACACGGTTATCTTGAGTCCTGCAATTTCCTGTTTTTCAGCCACTTGGCAAAGTCCCTCCCTTTGCCCTCCAGTGTAAATCGGCCACGAATTGACCTGATCGTGTTTGTGGTTAATCTTCACAGCAAATACAGGTGAGAGCCAGAGGAAGGGGCAGTCAGGGCTTAGGCAGGCCTGGCTCAGACCTGTGCTGGGAGAGTGACCTAACTTGTGATGGAAGTGGTGAGGATGGGAGAGGCTGTCTGAGGTCAGTCCTATAGGGTGAGGAAAGAGGAGGCAGTGGCCAGTGCACAGTGTTTAAAAGACAACGGCCAGGCACAGTGACTCACACCTGTAATCTCAGCACTTTGGGAGGCCGAGGTGGGCAGATTGCCTGAGATCAGCCAGGGCAACACGGTGAAACCCCGTTTCTACTAAAATGCAAAACATTAGCCGGGCGTGGTGGCTTGTGCCTGTAGTCTCAGTTACTCGGGAGGCTGAGGCAGAATTGCTTGAACCCAGGAGGTGGAGGTTGCAGTGAGCCGAGATCGGGCCACTGCACTCCAGCCTGGGCAACAGAGCGAGACTCTGTCTCAAAAAAAAAAAACAAACAAACCGGGCGCGGTGGCTCAGGCCTGTAATCCCAGCACTTTGGGAGGCCGAGACGGGCAGATCACAAGGTCAGGAGATCAAGACCATCCTGGCTAACACAGTGAAACCCCGTCTCTACTAAAAAATATAAAAAACTAGCCGGGCGAGGTGGCGGGCGCCTGTAGTCCCAGCTACTCGGGAGGCTGAGGCAAGAGAATGGCGTAAAGCTGGGAGGCAGAACTTGCAGTGAGCTGAGATCCGACCCCTGCACTCCAGCCTGGGTGACAGAGCAAGACTCCGTCTCAAAAAAAAAAAAAAAAAAAAAAAATTAAAGTTCACCTATAATAAAGAACGAAAGCATAACCTTTGCAGCAACCTGGATGCAGCTGGAGGCCATTATGCTAAGTGAATTAACACAGGAGCAGAAAATCAAATACTACATGTTCTCACTTGTAAGTGGGGGCTAAACATGGGGTCCTCATGGACACAAAGATGGCAACAATAGACACTGCGGACTACTAGAGCAGGGAAGGAGGGAGGGGGCAACGATTGAAAAACTATTAGGTCCTATGCTCAGTACCTGGGTGATGGGATCATTTGTACCCCAAGCCTCAGCATCACATGGTATACCCATGTAATAAACCTGTACATGTACCCCCGGAATCTAAAATAAAAGTTGAAATTATTTTTAAAAAACATTAAAGGACATAATGGGGCGTGGTGGCCCATGCCACTTTGAGAGGCCGAGACCGGTGGATCACTTGAGGTCAGGAGTTTGAGACTAGCCTGGCCAACATGGCAAACCCTGTCTCTACTAAAAATACAAAAATTAGCCGAGCATGGTGGCTTGCACCTGTAATCCCAGCTACTCAGGAGACTGAGGCAGGAGAATCACTTGAACCCAGGAGGCGGAGCTTGCAGTGAGCCAAGATCGCACTACTGCATTCCAGCCTGGGTGACAGAGTGAAACTCCATCTCAAAAAAAAAAAAAAAAAAAAAAGGACAAAGTATTTCTCCAGAGAATGTCACCCTCTTGTCATTCTCTGGCCTCTAGGATCAGAGAAGCAAGGGCTTCTGCTTTCTCTGTTGGAAAGTTTTGTTCTCTGGTGTGTTTTCTCATCCTGGCCTGGCCACCGCAGCCTCCAGAACACCGAGGAGTCCCTGCGCCATGTGGATGCCAGCTTCTTCTTGGGGAAGGTGTGTTTCCTCGCCACAGGTGGTAAGTACGTCCTTTGCCTGTTACTGCCCACCCCCAGCCAAGGGAAAGGTGGGGCGGGGGTAGACTTCTTGCGGAGGCACCCTGGGTGATGGAAAGAACATGTATTTTACACACACTGGGGCCTATCGGAGGATGGAGGGCAGGAGAAAGGAGATCAGGAAAAATAACGAATGGGTACTAGGCTTAATACCTGGGTGACAATCTGTACAACAAACCCGATGACACAAGTTTACCTACATAACAGATCTGCACATGTACCCCGGAACTTAAAAGTTAAATTTAAAAACCGAAAGAACATATATACACATACTTTGGAATCTGACCTGTTGTCAGCCTAAGAGTGAATCTGAGCAGATAACTCTGCTGTTGCTTGGAGTTGCCTAGTGGCTGCCTGTGGCTTTCAGTAAAATCCAAACTCTAAAGACACAAAGCCCTTTGCAGTTTGGCGTCTGCCTTCTGGGCTGGTCTCATCTCTGGTTACTCTCCTTCTCTGGGTCTGCTGCTGTTCCTGAGACTTTGTAATATTAACAGTGAAAATAATAATGGCTAACCTCTTTTGAGCTCTCACTGTGAGGCAAACACTATAATTGCTTTGTTTTCATATTAATGTTTGATGTAGGTATTATTACCTCCATTTTAGAGTCATGAGGTTAAGTTGCCCAAGGCCCCTAGATAAAAAGTGGTAGAGCCAAGGTTCACACCTAGGTAAGTCCTGTTGCAGGGCCCGTCCTTTTTTTTGTTGAGTTGGAGTCTTGCTCAGCCGCCCAGGCTGGAGTGCTGTGGCATGATCTCGGCTCAGTGCAACCACCGTCTCCGGGGTTCAAGTGATTCTCCCATCTCAGCCTCCCGAGTAGCTGGGATTACAGGCACCCGCCATCATGCCCAGCTAATTTTTGTATTTTAGTAGAGATGGCGTTTCTCCGTGTTGGCCAGGCTAGTCTTGAACTCCTGACCTCAGGTATCCGCCCGCCTCGGCCTCCCAAAGTGGTGGGATTACAGGCTTGAGCCACCGCACCCGGCCGGCCCGTCTCTTTTTGTTTACTCTAGGCTTCTCTCAAATACGTTTCCTCTTCTTTATCTTGCTAACCCCTACAAATACCTCAAAACTCAGCCCCGGTGTCTCTGCGGCATGCAGGAGGTGTCTGACCTGTCTGCCCTTCCAGCTGAACTGTTAGCTCCTTGAGCAGAGCGCCTGGCACGGCACAGATAATTCTCAAGAAGCATTGATGAACAAATGCAGGCCAAGCAATTTCTAGATGTCAACTCACTGATTCTAGAGTGACTCAGTGGGGTAGCAGCTATTATTATCGTCATTGTCTAATTTGATATTCTTGACTACCTAGAAAAGAAAGTAGAATAGGACTGTCACCCTCAGGAATAGAAAGAAACTGAGCCAAAGAGTGGGGAAGTGAGGGACTCTGCCCAGCACTTCCTGAATTCCAGCCAGGAAGGTAGAGATTGCAGCTATAGCACTCATGACTTCTTTCCAGCTGGGCGGGAGAGCCACTGCAGCATTCACCGGCACACCGTGGTGAAGCTGGCCCACACCTACCAAAGCCCCCTGCTCTACTGTGACCTGGAGGTGAGCATGCTGATCACAGAGACCAACACTACACTCGGGTGCGGGAAAGGGTGGTCAGCACACAGTGGGCACATCGGGAATGCTTATCGAAGGACTCAGTATCCGAGCGAGGCAGCTTCTGAAGTGGAGGGAGACACAGGATCCTGGTTTGAGTCCTGGCGTTTCTGTTTACTGGCTGTGACCTGGGCAGGTCACCCTGAGCCTTGGAGTACACAGGTGTGAAGCGGGGGTGATGTGCTTTCATCTGGCGTGCATCTTATATGCCAGGCTCTAGCACGTGCTGCCCTGCTTTTCCTTTTGCTGAGTTTCTGCATGCTTAGTTATAATTAAGTCTTACGTGTATGTATCTGTGAGTCTCCTCTCCTGCTGGGGTGTAAATGATTGAGGCCAGGCGTATGTCCATCTCATTACCTAGTGCATCCTTGTGTCCCCTGGGAGTCAGAATGCCGGATTTGGCCTTAACTCTCTGTATTTCAGACCTTGTCTAGTCCCATCCCAAGCCAGGGTACCCAGCAGGCGGTAGGGATGTTTGTTAGGTGGGCGGGTAGATGGTTGGATGGATATGTAGGGTGTTCTGCCCCAACTGGATTCTATTGGTGTTTCCCACAAGGTGTAACTAATCATGAGGGGTAGGAAAGTAGCCTTTTTGTTGTTGTTGTTGTTTTAGATAAGATATTGCTCTGTTGCCCAGGCTGGAGTGCAGTGGTGTGATCATGGCTCACTGCAGACTCGAGCTCCTGGGCTCAAGTGAACCTCCCATCTCAGCCTACTGAGTAACTAGGACTACAAGCGTGCACCACCGCACCTAGCTAAGTATTTATTTATTTATTTATTTATTTACTTTTTAATGTAGAGATGAGGTCTTGCTGTGTTCCCCACACTGGTCTTGAACTCCTAGCCTCAAGTGATCCTCCCACTTTAGCCTCCCAAAGTGCTGGGATTACAGGCATGAGCCACTGCGCCTGGCCTTTACCCCCTTTTTATGCAGGATAAATCCTGATGACTTTTTGCTACAGAGGCCTCAGCAGGAGTTGATGTGCTCCCCCCGAGGGGTCTACTGAGGGGCCCCAGGGCCCACACTGCCACACCCACGCGCCAGGCCTGCTCCATTCCTTTGGAAACCTATTCGTTGGTTTTGAGATACATTTTGAAGAGTTGTGTTTCTGCTCTGTTCTGGGTCTTGTGCCTGTTACCAAAAGCAAAGTGATGAAATGCAGGGAGAACCGAGTGAGCACACGATCTGTCACCACCAATCCGTCGCCACCGTCTAGACCAGGGTCCCTTATCCTAGGTTTGGCACTCCTCTGGTCTAAGGGCAGAATTCAGAGGATAGCAGTCTGTGGCTGTCGCCAGTAGAAATGGGGATGTTTTCATATCACATTAGGATTGGGCAGGTCTCATCATGTGGCAGCAGCTGTTAGGCCTGCCCCTCGGTCGATGCATCGATCACAGTACACACTTGACTCATGCATTTGTTTTCTTATTTGATGACTACTTTTCGAGCGCCTGACCAGACCAGCACTCTGATCTCATAGATGGGATCCTGAGGCCTGGGCACACCTGAAGTGCCTTCCCCTGCCAGGCTTTCCTCCCAGAGAGACGAGGTGACTTGCTCAGGGTCACACAGCTCATGAGTGAGGGGTAGAGCCAGCTGTTCTCCTTTCCTAGCCTGCTGACCATGTGACCTTGATTAGGTCACTTTGCCTGCCACAGAGCATTAGTTTTCTCATCTCTAAAGGGGAATCACAACCTTTGCTCCATAGTTCAGGTGCTGGTGGGGGACAATGTTGCCTGCTCACCTTGTGACAAGTGGTGCATTTCTGTCTGTGGCCATGAGGTGGCGGGCCAGACCAGGTCCTGGGTTCTTTCATGGCCTGGGCAGGAAGCAGGAGGCCCCAGTCCGGTTCTAGCTACAGCAGGAGCTGCAGAAATGCCTGCTCAGAACATAGGCCTGCATCCGTCAGATGGAGCACCCAGGGTTTGAACAGGCCTCCCTCTTCATGCTGGTGTTGTCCTCTTCAGAACACTCTTCTGAATAATTGAGTTTGAGCCCCACCATATATCTTGAGGCCTTTGCATGGCAGGAATTACCAGCCCCATTTCATTGATGAGGAAATACAGGAAGGTGTATGATTGGCCCAGTGAGATAATTGCCTAGGTCTGCTGGTAGGGCTCTGTGCTGGGCCCTGGGAACACAAATGACTCAGATATTGGCCCTCCTCTCTCAGAATCTCATGAAATAAGCAGACATGTAACACACGCAATAGCAGAAGGATTTGCTGAGCTTTGGGAGCCTGGCGGTAGAATTAGGTCATTTCTTCCTGGATGTCATGGGCAAAGTCATGACTGTGGTCAGACCTGTGCATTTGGGTCATGTCTCTGGAGTGACGTGGATTGGAGGAAGCCTGGCCAGAGGCAGGAGGCTGGGTCAAGGCTGCTGCAAGAGGCAGGTTGTGGACCCTGAGCCTCAGCAGCCTGGAGGTAGATTTTGGGAACAAAGTCCACCAAACTTAGAGTGAGAGGATTTATTAACACTTCCTGAGTTTCTGTGGTGCCAAGCACTGTTCTAGGCTCCAGGGACATAGCACGGAACAAAGCAGTCAAAAACCTCAGCTTCCTGCTGGGCGCTATAGCTCACACCTCTATTCCCAGGGAGGCCGACGTGGGAGGATCACCTGAGGTCAGGAGTTTGAGACCAGCCTGGCCAACATGGTGAAACCCAGTCTTTACTAAAAATATAAAAATTAGCTGGGCATGGTGGCACACTCCTGTAATCCCAGCTACTCAGGGGACTGAGACACAAGAATCGCTTGAACCTGGGAGGCAGAGGTTGCAGTGAGCCAAGATGGTGCCACTGCACTCCAGCCTGGGTAACAAAGCGAGACTCTGTCTCAAAACAAAACAAAAAAAGCCCCAGCTTTGTTCTAGTCAAGGAAACAAACAGGGTAAATGAGGTGCTGGAAAGTAGAGGCGTGGCGTATCAGGTGGTGGTAAACAGGCGAGAGTTAGGCAGGGTGACCAGGGAACGCCCCTACAAACAGGACTTTTAAATAAATAAAGACCTGAAGGAAGTAGGCGGGCAGGCCATGGAGATACCTCGTGGCAGGAAGAACAGCAAGTGCATGGGTCGAGTGTGGGACTTGCCTGGTGTGCTCAAGGTCTGGCAGGGAGGCCTGGGTGGCTGCAGCACAACAGCAAACGACGGGTTGGGGTGTAGAAATCAGGAATGGTGGGGCTGGATCAGTGGAGCCTAGTGGGGAGCTGCTGGAGGGCTCAGGGCCAGGGAGGGATGTGGCCTGACTTGGGTTTTAAATGGACCCCTTTGGCTGCTGGGAGGAGAGTGGGCTGAAGGGAAACTAGGGCAGAAATAGAGAGACAGGTCTGGAGGCTTTTTTTTTTTTTTTTTTTTTTTTTTTTTTTGAGGCAGACTTTCACTCTGCCACCCAGGCTGGAGTACAATGGCGCGATCTCGGCTCACTGCAACCTCCACTTCTGGGATTCAAGTGATTCTTCTGTCTCAGCCTCTCAAGTAGCTGGGATTACAGGCGCCCACCACCATGCCCGGCTAATTTTTGTATTTTTAGTAGAGACGGGGTTTCACCATATTGGCCAGGCTGGTCTCAAACTCCTGACCTCCTGATCCGCCTGCCTCAGCCTCCCAAAGTGCTGGGATTACAGGCGTGAGCCATCGCGCCCGGCGTGGAGGCTCTTTCTAGGGGAGTTAAGCATGGACTCAGTGCTGGCCAGGAAAAAGGATGGTGGGATAGTCTATGACACTGGCTGCTTCCAGGATGGAGCCAGCCAACTGTTCTGTGGCCAGAATGTGAGGCATGAGAGAAAGAAGAGTCCTCCCTCACTCTGAAGATTTTGCCAGCTGACTGGAAGGATGGAGTTGTCTTTGGCTGAGATAAGGAAGCCTGCAGGAGGAGCAGGTTTTGGGGGCTTCAGGGGCTCTACTTTTGGCATGCAAAGATTAAGGGGTCTATTAGCCACCTGGGTGGAGAAATCAAGTCAACAGCTGCATACATGTGTGACATTCAGAGGGAAGACCTGGAGGTGTAATTTGGGTGTTATTAGCAACTGGGTGGTTTTAAAGCCACAGAACTGGACGAGGTCACCGGGGGACTGAGTGTGGGAGAAGAGATCCAAGGACCGAGCTCTGGAGCCCCAGCATGTAGATGCTGGGCAAAGGCGAGGGAGCCGCCTGTGTGGGAGCGGAACCCTGGGTGAGTGCGGGGGCCTGGGAGCCAGGCAGAAAAAGCGTTTCAAGGAGGGAGTAAACAGCTGTGGTGGACTCTGTCAATAGCGCCAGTGCGGTGAGGACTGAGAAGCTGCCGCTGGGTCTCATACCAAGGAGGTCATGGTAGCAAGCGGTGGGAATAAGAGCAGGGAAGTTGAGGATGCCCTGGTCTCTACTTTGGGTGGGTGGTGACACCCCAACCTGCCCTCAGCTAGAGAGGAAACAGAAGGTGAGATGCTTCTGAGGCCACATGTCGGCCAGGGGAAGACACTGGCCAGCATCGTGATCTTCCAGCAGACATGTCTAGAGCATCTGTGCCCGGGCCTGGAGCAGTCTTGTCCCTCTCTGGCCCCACAGCTCCCCCGGGCCCATTCCTTTTTGATGGCACCTTATCTGTGGTGAGGGCCACCCGTTCTCCCTCCCTCCGTCCCATCCCTGTGAGTATCTTCTGCTCCCTGGTCTTGAGCCTCTGGGGCCCAAGCTGCCCGGGCATTGGTTGGAGGCAGCCCTGGTTCAGAGCGCAGCTCTGGAGTCACTAGCTGGGTGATCCTAGACAGTTTGTTCGGCCTAGCCAGCCTTGCTAAGCCTTCATTTCCTCTTGAACAGGAGGTCAGGCTCTGGATGTCTCCGGAGGTTGTCTGAAGGTTTGGGCAAGCTGAGGCAGTTGGAAGTTACTCTGAGGTGTAGCATGAATGAGGGCATGGCTGTGATGGGCAGTGATGACCTGAGCTACCCCCGAGTCCCCCCCCCAGCCCTGCTCTGGCAGCCCCTGCAGCTGCTCTGAGTAAGGGAGCAGGGCCAGCCACTGCATTCTGTCTCACTGCTGTTCTCTGCTCTCCCCGCAGGTGGAAGGCTTTCGGGCCACCATGGCGCAGCGCCTGGTGCGCGTGCTGCAGATCTGTGCTGGCCACGTGCCCGGTGTCTCAGCTCTGAACCTGCTGTCCCTGCTGAGAAGCTCTGAGGGCCCCTCCCTGGAGGACCTGTGAGGGCGACTGGCCCCTGGGCTGCCTCTCCCCATGGCTTCGTGCTGACTCCATAAACATTCTCTGTTGAGGATGTCCAGTCAGGGCTTGACAGGCCCAGGCTCAGCCTCCAGTGGTTGGGAAGGTTCCCTGCAGGACCTGTGCTCCAGCAGGGAGAGCTGGGCAGAAGCAGCGAGGGGGCCCAGCTGGTGGGACTCCAGCCCCCTCCCACTCCCACACTCACTCTTGCAGAGCCTTGTGTCTTTAAGCAGCTGGCGTGTTGCATCTCCATTTAAGGTTTCCTTCGAACAAAAGGTCTGTGACTAAAAAAAGTTTAAAAATCACTGGTCTCATTCACCACTTTATCGGTAAGGAAACTGACTCAGAACAATTAAAGAGTAGGGCAGGGTGGGCCAAGTGCAGAGGCTCACGCCTGTAATACCAACACTTTGGGAGGCCAAGGTGGGTGGATCAATTGAGGTCAGGGATTTGAGACCAGCCTGGCCAACATGGTGAAACCCCATCTCTACAAAAATACAAAAATTAGCTGGACATGGTGGTGGGTGCCTGTAGTCCCAGCTACTTAGGAGGCTGAGGCAGGAGAATCACTTGAACCCGGGAGGCAGAGGTTGCAGTGAGCTGAGATTGCGCCACTGCACTCCAGCCTGGACAACAGAGTGAGACTCCACCTCAAAAAAAAAAAAAAAAAAGGTGAGACCAGCCTGGCCAACATAGTGAAACCCTGTCTCTACTAAAAATACAAAAATCAGCCGGGCATGGTGACACGGACCTGTAGTCCCAGCTACTCGGGAGGCTGAAGCAGAATCACTTGAACCTGGAAGGCGGAGGTTGTGTTGAGCTGAGATCACGCCACTGCCTGGGCAGCAGAGCGAGACTCTGTCTCAAAAAAAAAAAAAAAAAAGGTCGGGGCGGGGGGGTTCAACCGTGAACCCCGCACTTTCAGACTCCGCATCCTGGCCCTGCTGTCATAGAACGTGGTTGTTGCCTCTTGGAGCTGTTTCCTCAGATGTGAATGGAGATGTTCTGCTCACCTTGTCACATTGTGAGGATTGAATGAGATGATGGGGGACATGCCTGGGACCGTGTGACCCCCCCCAATGCCTGTGTGTAGGTTGCTGTGTTCATAATGTGTTAAGGCCTTGCACCTTGCTAGGTAGGTACTCAGTGAACAGTAACTATTTGAAATCACATGGGAAGCCGAGGCGGGCGGATTGCCTGAGCTCAGGAGTTCGCGACCAGCCTGGGCAACACGGTGAAACCCTATCTCCACTAAAATACAAAAAATTAGCCAGGCGTGGCAGCCTGCGCCTGTAGTCCCAGCTACTTAGGAGACTGGGGCAGGAAAATTGCTTGAACCCGGGAGGCGGAGGTTGCAGTGAGCCGAGATCGTGCCACTGCACTCTAGCCTGTGCAACAGAGGGAGACTGTCTCCAAAAAAGAAATCACACAGCAGAGTTCAAAAACTGGTGCAAATTAGGAATTACACCACTGTCAGAACTTTGCAAAAAGTAAGAGAAACTGGCTGGAGGTCTCGTTTTGGGGTTGATGGCGAGAGATTGTGCAGTGACAGTTGCTTTCCTTCTCCCTTGGGTCTCATTGGAGATTGTAGAGGCATCAGAACTGGACTCTAGAAATCCCATAGCCAGGTCAAAGCTCCTGCCACTGCACAGAGCGGGCTTGGCACATGGGAGCTTGTGGGTGAAGCGGGTGTCTGGAGGGAGAAACTTCAGGAAGAGAGCCGGGTCCTGACTCCCTTGGAACGTGACAGTGCCCTCCCCACATTAACCCTGTGTGTGCCAGGGAGTGCCCACCAGCCTCAGGCCTCAGGATGGACCCCAGTTGAAATCCTGGGCAGCACTGCACCAGCACATTGGGGCCTGTCTGCATTTTTTTTTTTTTTTTTTTTGGTTGATGGGGGTGGAGTCTCGCTCTGTCTCCCAGGCTGGAGTGCAGTGGCACGATCTCGACTCACTGCAACCTCTGCTCCCTGGTTCAAGCGATTCTCCTGCCTCAGCCTCCAGAGCAGCTGGGATTACAGGCGCCTGCCACCAAACCTGGCTAATTTTTGTATTTTTAGTAGAGACTGGTTTCACCATGTTGGCCAGGCTGGTCTTGAACTCCCGACCTCAGGTGATGTGCCCGCCTCAGCCTCCCAGAGTGCTGGATTACAGGTGCGCACCACCATGCCCAGCTGATTTTTGTATTTTTAGTAGAGGTGGCGTTTCACCATGTTGGTCAGGCTGGTCTCAAATTCCCGACCTCACGTGATCCGCTAGCCTCGGCCTCCCAAAGTGCTGGGATTATAGGTGTGAGTTACTGCAGCTGGCCTAAGACCTCTCTGTTTTGATGTCACCATTGCAGCTGGGCCCATGCCCTTCACCGAGGGGTGGGCCACCTTCTAACTCGTAGGTGTCGGGGGATGTGGCCCTGTCTGCCCCTTTCTGTAGGTTTCTTCTGGAACTTAGCTTGGGCCCCACCCCTAGTGCTCAGTAAGGGTTTGTAGACACCTGCCTGACTTCCTGGCAGTCCCTTGGGCTCTGCTGAGGACCTCAGCCACGTAGATTCCGGTCGAGGCCCCACATGTCACCTGACATTTGCAGGGCACGTCATGCTTCACAGAGCTCTTCTCACACAGCAGACCTGTGAGGTAGATGATGTTTCCCCAGTTCACAGTTGATGAAACAGACCGTTGTCATGGGAAGTGTGTCGCAGTCACACAGCTAACTGGCAGCAGAGCCAGCCCCAGTCCTCTGCTTCTCTCCAGTTTTTCTGTGTGCCTAATCCTTGAATAAAGGTTTGAAGGCCGGGCGCAGTGGCTCACACCTGTAATCCCAGCACTTTGGGAGGCCGAGGTGGGCAGATCACTTGAGGTCAGGAGTTCGAGACCAGCCTGAGCAACACAGTGAAACCCTGCCTCTACTAAAAATACAAAATTAGCTGGGCTTGGTGTCATGTGCCTGTAATCCCAGCTACTTGGGAGACTGAGGCAGGAGAATCACTTGAACCCAGGAGGCAGAAGTTGCAGTGAGCTGAAATTGCATCACTGCACTCCGGCCTGGGTGACAGAGACTCCATCTCAAAAAAAAAGGGGTTTGGGCATCTCTACTGGGCAAGCCCTGAGCTGGAATACAGAAGGTGGAGACAGCCCGTGTACCCCCAGAAAGCAGCAGTCGGCAAGCCATGGTTCCTGCCTCGGGATGAGACCACTAGAACACTGAGCATCATGCGAGGGCAGGGGGTGGCAGGATAGGCCAAGGGCAGAGGCCCTTAGTGTGGGAGCAGAGTGGTGCAGGCACTGGCCCTAAGCAGGCCTTCCCCAGCAGCAAAAAGCCCCTCGGGCACTCGGTTGGGGAAGCCAGCCTCTGTGCTGGAGGAGGGGTGGCTCCAGGGCAGAAGGAAGAGGCTAGAGGTGAACCTTCACATTGGTCCCTGAAGGGATGGGCAGTAGCAGCAGAGGCCCGGAAGGCCAGCCTTCCCGGAGAGTGACCTTGTCTTTGGCCCTTCTGTCCTTGTCCAGAAAGGGTGTCTTTGCAGGGTAACTGGAGGCTAGAGTAGGTCTTTGCGGGGGCTGGTGGAATGGGGGTCCAAGCAGGGGAGGAATGCAGTGTGGATGCAGCCTGCCTGCTCTTCTGGGATGTCACTTTTTACTGGCGACCAGGAGGAGAGGCCTTTCCCCACACCCCCTCCCCCCAGGCCTGCATGGGGCCCCTCTCTCAGGTCCCTGTGCCACATTTTCCTTGCCACCTGGTACCATTTAACAAGAGAAGTGGCATTGCATTCTCCAGCCAAGGGTCTGGGAACCTTCCAAGCACTGGGGAACACAATGCTGTCACTGCCGCCAGCTCCCAGCCGAGCTTGGCAGGGGCCCTGGAACCAAGAGGCCTCCCCTCTAGAGTTGGGGGCTGGCCTGCCCCTGCCTCACAGCAGAGCTGAGCCACACTTAAATGGCAGGCAGGTGCCCTCAGACCTGCTGTCCCTGGACGGCGGGGGATGGGTGGCCAGAGAGTGGGGTTGCTTCGTGCCATCTGGAGACCCAGTGGCATTGTCCAGGAGACAGTTTGGCTGAGGGAAGTAATGGAAGATCAGTGTGTGCCGGAATTGGTGCTTGGTACTGAAGTGAGGTGGAGGGAGATGGGAGAGGCTGGGCTTGGCTGCTTGCTTGGTGGGGTGACCTCAGGCAGGTCGCTCACCCTCGACAAGCCTCAGTTCCTCAGCTGTAGCATGCCACCAGGTTAACGGATGCCTTTCTTCCTAGCTGGTTGAGGACTGGCAATGAAGATGCCACTATTTTATGTATTTATTTAGAGATGGGGTCTTGCTATGGTGCCCAGGCTGGTCTCAAACTCCTGGCCTCAAGCCCATTATTTTGAACATAAAGCTTTAAACAAATGTCAAATGTCTCAGGGTGGCCATGGTCATGATGTGGTCACATTGGAGGACGTTGTTGAAGGCAGGCAAGAACCCCCTACAAGAATTCCCAGCCTACAGGCTGGCAATGGGGGGCTGAGGCTCCTGGAGGCGGCGCCTCTTCAGCTGGGCCTGGAAGCTGCCTCATCCATGCTCCTATAAGCCGGAAGGAAGGTGGTGTTTGGGCCCCACTCTTAGAGGAGTAGAGCTTACTCGGGGTCACGCACTCATTTGTCCCCCTCAGTCCACCTGCCTATGAGCAGTCCTTGGGACCCCGGAGAGTTCACATTCTCCATGGCCAGTGGTCCAGGCCTGAGTGTCCTGGCCCCAATCTGATGGTGTTCCCATCCCTGCCAAGGAGGCAGGACCTTCCTAGCAAGGAGGGGCTCTGCAGCCTGGGCCCCCTGTCTCCTGCACCCCCGGTGAGCAGAGGCAGGAGCAGCCCGGCTGCAGAGGGGAAGTGGTGCAGTGGGAACAGGCCCAGCCTCTGGGTCCCATCGACTTGGGGTCTGTGGCCGATCTGCAGTGTGACTTGGGGCAGCCCACTTCCCTCTCCAAGCCCCACTGCCTGCCCCCCTCTTCAGGTCTTGTGAGGCTCAGAGAGAAACTGAAGAGCCTGAGTCCCTGCCAGCCCTTTCACCCTCCACAGACAGTGGCTCGGTGCAGGCTGGCAGGCTGGTGGGCGAGGAGAGCCGGGGGGTTCTTGAGACAAGGCCCTGTTACAGTTGTCCCCCAACCCACACCAGGGGTGCTGGGCCAGGCCTGCTGGCAGGGCTGGAGCACAAAGGGACCTTTTCTGGAAGGTTCTGTTGGCTTAGCCCCTTCCCTCCAGTGTCCCCTGGGGCCAGAAGGACACAGGCAGAGTCTCTGTGACAGAAAGTCTCACACTAGGGGGCTGAGGGAGACAGTGGGGTGG